GTGGGCTGTAGACAGGGGACATGGCACCTACCCCGCCAGGACGACCACTGGACAGAGACCGTCGGCGCTGGTGGCCGGAGCTGGTGGCTGCTGGGCCACAGACAGCATACAGTTATGAGGGAGGTGAGCCCCGGGGCCGTGACGGACAGCGCGGTGACCACGGCCAGCAGGACCGTGTGCCGGGTGTGTGCACGATGCTGGGGGCAGGTGTCAGTCCTCACCGCAGGCAGCCACCTGTGACCCTGTGAGCGGACTTGCCACGGGGCTCCCTCCACAGCGGACTGAGCGCGGGCCGCTACGGTGCGCACCTGAGGCGGCGCCGCCGCATGTCGGCTGTGTGCCAGGGGAGGAACAGAACCTCTGAAGGGTAAGTGGCCCGGTCCCGGGCCCGGCTGGTGCTCGGCCGGCGTCAGCCATCCTCGCAGCCTGTGCCAGCAGCTGCCGCTGCTCCTGGCACGCGGCACGGACTCGGCACCGCGCTCCCGCCCCCACGTCCTCGGCACGAGGGTCTCCGGGCGCCCAGAGGACACAGGATTCCACCCGACAAAGATGCCACGACGCCCAGACTTCTGCAACGCCTCCCGAAGCAGAAAAGCAAACAAAACACGTGCTTTTTGCTCTTTACTTGCGCAGTATTTTCCTAGGCGGTGCATCACTTTTCAGCTCAGAAGCGATTGCAACCCTTCGTTTTTTGTTTGTTTTTTTTCTTTTTCCCCAGGACAAATCGTGGGTGGTTACCAAGGGCTCAGGCAGGGGCGCTGCGCGAGCAGGTGTCTCCGTGGCCCACCTGCACGGCATCGCTGGTCTGGGCCTGGTCATCGCTCTCAGTGGGGGAAGGCAGACAGGCTGGGAGGCTGGTCCTCCTGATTATTGCATCAGGAGCCCTGAATGCCGAGTTACTGCACAAAGCTCTGAGATGGGCATGTCGAGAATGAGGCAAACACTCAGAAATGACAGGATGCGGGCCTGAGGAAGCCTTCCGGTCCACGACACAGACTCATCTCAACTGGGGGCCCGAGGAAGGCCGACCCCCTCTGTCTGTACCTGAGACCATCAGCAAGCAAACCTCAGCGTCGGGAGTCTGAGAAATGTTGGACGGGGGACAGCGTTTGAGGTCAATTTCTCTACGGTCAGTGCCTGGGGGCTGTAAGTTCTGTAACTTCCAAGTGCCCTATAGCACGTTAGAATGCAATACACATACCACGGAAGCATCACTTTTTAAAAAAATTTCACCAGGCGGGAACAGAGCCCAGCCTCTCTGCCCTTCTGCCTGGTGATCAGGTCCTACGGGGGCTGACCGGCTGGCCCCTGGCCCACGCTGGTGGGAAGTCCAGACGACTAGTTCTGAGCCTTCCCAGAACGCCTGGGGACGGCTTCTGCAGCACGGTGGCGTCACAGGAGCCTCTGTGTCCCCCAGAGTCTGGGGTAAGGGACATGGGACTGGCTGGGGTCAGTGTTTCTGGGAACATAATGATGGGCCCTGGAATTCCCAGTTTTCTCATGAACTTTTAACCATGTTTAAAACAAACTCAACAGCTCTGATTTTGAGAGGGACAAGCTCACGGCGCAGGGCCCCCCGGGAGCCCGGGAGTGCCTGGCTCTGCAGAAAACAAGCTCTGCTTCTCGGTGACAAGCACCAGCCCGCCCCCCTGCTGGCCGGCAGCTCTGGGGGGGCCCTGAGTGTCCCCAGGTAAGCTGGCAGGTCCCCAGGGTAGAACGTAGCACAGCCTTCCTTCGGGAAGAGGACACTTGGGTGTGGCAGCCGCGTGGCCTGTGTGCTCACAGGTTGCTCTGGGAATGTGCCGGAGTCAAGGGATCAGGTGCCTGTCACAGCGAAGTGACTTTCAAGGATCTTTAACTGAGGACCAGGATAGGACAGTGGTCCCCCAGCCCCGTGACAGCCTTCCCAATTCAGTGCAGACCCTGAGTTCTGACATCTCAGGTGTGATTGGCTGCCCGGCCAGAACTCGGGCCCTGGGAGAAGGCTGCCGTCCCCCAAAGCCCACCCTCTTCCCGGAGGGGGTCTGCGCCCTGTGGACTGGTCCTGGAGCCCTGGCTGACACTCGGTCGGCTCTCCTGGGGTCCCGATGAGCCGCTGCCCATCAGGGCGCGGTGCGGTCCATGCCCGCACTGGCAGTCTCTCGCACAGACTCGTACATGCTCCTGAATGACAGCCCAGGTGAGTGTGGGGAAGCCTCTCCCCAAAAATGTGCAGCTCCCACCAGCAGTGAAGGTCAACACACAGAACGGTGTGTGTCCTCCTCTCCAGACAAATGTCTGTCGCCGAGACCAAGCCAACATGACAGATGTCCTGCAGTCACAGCAGCGGCGCTCAGGCCCCTGGGCGCAGCCGCCGGGACCCAGTCCGTGGCCGACGGAAAGGGGTTCGGGCTGGCAAAGGCTCTGCAGCCCACCTGCACACACCTGGTGCTCAGCACCTGCGTGTGGCTGTGGTGTCGATGACGAAGTCACCTGACCTCCCACTAACAGCCCAAGGGAAGGGGCGAGGTGCTGAACACTCAGCCAAAACTGCCCCCTTGAACCCTGCCAGCAGCCAGCACACCCCACCCCACCCCACCCCGGCAGCCACAGCCGAGCCAACCGCACCCAGGCTGCAAAGGGCGCCCCATGGGAGCAGGCTGAGTTCCCAAGTCCCCAACCTGCCACGCTGACATCGCCCACTCGAAAGCTGGCGCAAGCAGCTCTCTCTGCAGGTGAGTTCCCAGGGGCCCTGGTCAGGGAGAAAAGGCACAGGAATGTCTCTCCCCAGGGAGCAGGCTCGCCCCCCCCGCCACCGCCCACCCGTCAGGACGAGGTTACATCCCGTCTGTAACCTGGGGTTGTGTGGTTGGAGGTGAGGCCCACGCTTCCCAGGCCCAGTTGAAGCCGGGGCCGCTCTGCCTGGCATGTCTTGGACACCTCTGGGGAACTCATGGCGTCCCCATCACGTTTGCTGAGTTGTTAGTCATAGACCCCAAAACTGGCTCTGCTAAGACCACCACCTGTCCCACAGGAAGTGGGCCGCAAACATTTGTCATGCCTGCCAACCGCGGGGCCCCAGACAACTGGGGACGCTCCTGGGGCGTCACCACCCCGGGCTACTTGGGACCGATGACCTCAGGCTGCTGCCTTGTGCTCCGTGACACGATCCTTCCTCCAGTTCATGCCATTCTTTAAATGCTACTCGGGGAACGCAGAGGACAGAGAACGACCGCCTTGCATGCCTGACCTCGAGAAGCCTTTTCTGGCTGTTCTGTTAGAAAAGAATGTGGAGCGCAGAGCACTCGACAGACCCCTCTGTGGGGACACGGGGACAGAGGCAATGGGGCAGAGGACAGGCAGACACTCCTCCTGCATCCTGTCCTCCCTTCTCACTGACCCCCAAAAAGACCAAGGAGAGACAGCTGCGCCCTGGGTGTGCAGCCTCTGGGTCCGCTGCCGCCGCAGGTGGCGGGAAACTTTCCGGAGATGAGGTGGGAGAATCGGCCCGTGGCTTTGCAGCCGGCCGACTGCTGCCCTCTGCGCGTGATGCCCGAGAAACCCGCGTGCTCACGGCGAGGAGGTGCAGGCGCTCGGGGAGCGAGTGAGAGAGACACAGGGCAGGGCGGCTCGCAGGCAGGTGTTGTGAATGAAACACGCAGAGAGAAGAAAGCACTATTTACTAGGAGAGTGCAACACGGCCAACTGATAGGCAGAGACGGAGGAGGAGGAGGGAGGTGCTCCCGAGGACGGGCAGGGCGGCCCCCCTGGGGAGGCCCAGAGCACCCCACGGTTCTCCGCACGAGCTCACAGCAGGTGTTCGCCACACATGGCCGGGCTCGGACTTAAAACAGACATGAGCACGGTCTCGGGGTTGCCGTCAGTAACAGGGCGGCTTCGCAGCCAGCCAGGTGGCGGCATGCTGTGTGGCGCTCCAAACCCGCAAGGCAACCCCGCCCCGGTCCTCCCGGTCTGTCAAAGGCGGTGGTGAAGCGGAGTGAGCAGTGAGAACTGCCCGGAGCACTGGGTGAGGCCGCTGTCACAAAGCAGACACACGGGGGAGAGAAAGCGGCGAGGCCCGTGGACGGGCGGCCAGCCACGGTGTGCACTTGCCCTCCACTCGCCGCTCCTCCTGCTTCACAATCAGCCTGGGGTCCAGAACTCCGCCCTGGCCCGCCGCACAATCTCACTGGTGGGCGAGGGCAGGGTCACGTGCGTCTGTGTCTGCAGCCCACCGGCCACCTTCACACCTGCCTCCCCTGCCCCGTCCTCTGCCACGCCCCCTCAGCCCAGGGAGCACCACTGCACCTCCAGGGACACCGAGACAAACCCCCTGTCTCAGGACACTCAGCCTTCCCACCCCCGCCCTACCCCACCTACTGTACAGATGCCCCTGAAATGAACTCTCGTACACTCAACATCTGGCCAGGAGCTGACTACACCCTAACTGCTCGCTGATGATCGACGCCCCCCTCTTACCCCCAGCTAAACCCGGACATGCAAACAGTCCCCAGGCGCCTGCGGCTGACCGGCCACAGCCGATCCCTGTCCTGGACACACTTCTCACCCCTTCGCACTGGCAACAACGCACTACTTGAAGCAGAAACAGTCCACGCGTGGCACGCCCATGGCCCAGAACCTGTCAGCGAGTACAGCTGCCCTGGTGCAGGAGGGCCGTGCCCTGACGTCCGGCAGTGCTGATCACGGCCTGGCTCGCGGCCACTGCGTGCACCCTCGGTCCCCCGCTCACACTGTCTCGGCGCAAGTCTGTCTGGGGAACCCCTGAATTTTTAAGTGCACAGAGAGGAGAGGTGTGGCCGAAGCCCAGCTGAGTGAGGTTTGAAGCGCTGACGTCACACTCTTTGGACCCACGCTGGGAGGTGACACCTGAAATGAGGGAAGTGGAGGACTTGCTGGGCAGCTGCAGGGGCTCGAGTGACACTGCACACTACTGGCTTCAAGCAAAGCAGACGCCGGCTCCCGCTGTGCGGTCACCCCTCCGCGATCGAGGGTTTCCACACCTGCGCTGCGACTCCGCTCTTCCTGGCCGAGAACTTGGGCCTCGGTGCCAGAAAAGACACTGCGGAGGCCGACTCTTGCTTCGGAGAGCTGGGGACACCCCCCGGCACCGGGGACGCGCTGGCGGGCGAGGCGGCCTCCGGGAAGAAGGCCGGCTGGGGGCTTCGGGCCGGCACCGAGCACACGGACGAGGCCTTCCTGCTGGCGGGCGAGCTGGCGCTGACTGCCAGGGGCGGCAGCGCCTGCTGCATGGCGGGCACTGAGTTGACTTTGGTGGACGGCCTTTGTGGGAGGGCAGCCTTTGCATCTGGAGGCTGGAACGTGAACAAGGATGCATTTAGCTGGTACGGCTGGTGCTTCATGACATCCAGAGCATTGAGGGGTTTCTTGCCCTTTTTCTTGCTGGGTTTGGAGGCCTGCGGGGCCGACGGCTGGGACTTGATAGCGGCCGGGGGGTAGGAGGGTGAGTGGATGGGGTTGTAGGCCACAGGAGGTGGCGCTCGGATGTTGGAGGAGTACTTCCAGCCGGCCGGGAGGGACGGGGTCGGGGACTGAGCGCGGGCCGCGTGGGCCTGCACGGTGTCTGAATCCACCACGTACTTCTCCATCCTAGACTGCCTTTTAGCAAAGAGCTGGGCCCCTTTGCCCTGCATTCCGGGAAGCTCGCTGGGTGGCCCCACTGCAGCCACCTGCCCGGTGCCCCCTGCAGGCGCGGGGGTTGCTGGCTTGGCTGTGTTGGCAGTGTAGTTCACACTGGCCACGGCTGCTGGGGGTCCCCTGAAGGGACCGGCCAGGCTGAGGGCACTGGCGGGCCGGGCCGGAGGGTAGGATGGCTGGGCTATTTTGATGGATGATGCAATGGTGCCCTGTGACTGGGTGGCCATGGGGAAGGCAGGAGGGTGGGCTGGAGCCAAGCCTGGCGACCAGACTGGAGACACAGGAGTCACTGGCGTCACCGGCTGGGAGGAGGAGGACTTGACTGCTGGTTTCGGAGCCACAGGCGGGGGTGTCTTCTGCTTGGCGGAGGGGCCCTGCAAGAAATTGCAGGCCTCCGCCCCCAAGCTGAGGTAGTCTTCCTCGGGGCCGGAGTCACCCCCAGCCCCGGTGCCGCGCTTGCCTTCGGAGTTTTGGAGGAGCGACAGGAGTTCCGGGTTCGGGCTGACCTTGGGCTCCTTGAACGTGAACATGGGCTTGGTGGTGCCCCTGCGCTTGGCCTCCTGCAGGATGCCCGTCCTCTTGGCGGGCACGGCGATCCTCTCGTCCCGGGATGCTATGCACTCGGGGAACCAGGGTGCAGGCTGCGGCCAGGGTGGGGGCTGTGCGGGGCCCGCGGTGGGGCTGCTCACTGCGTGGGCCAGGGCTCCCGGGGGCGGCGTGACTGCAGAGTAGGGTGGGGGTGCGGGGAAGTCGGCCGCGGGGCTCGTCCAGCTGCGGGGCGGGGCGAAGGCGGCTGCGGGCTGGACCGTGGACCCCGGGAAGGGCCTGGCCGTCCTGTTGGTGGGGGCCACCCTCGGGGTCTCCTCAAGGTAGGGCGCCGCCCCGAAGCCGTTGTGCTGGGGTGCGTGGCCAGGGCCGGGGCTCACCTCGATGTAGCTCCCGCTCACGTAGCTCTGCGGGGTCACGGCTGCTGCCTCTGTCCGCAGGTGGGGCGTCCCGGCGCTCGGGCCGTCTGTCTGCATCCCCATGCCCCCTGCGTCCTCCTTCTGGGCCGCGATCTGGTCCATCCTCTCCCTCCTCTTGGCGAACATGAGGGCTCCCTTGCCGGAGGTGTCAGGCAGCATCTCCATCTTGTCCTGGCGGGTCAGTTTCTTCTCAGCGTCCCCAAGGGTGGAACCCCAGTCCAAAGTCACCACGTGGGCTCTGTGGTCACTGTCGGACAGCAGCTCCTCGTCCCCGTCGGACTCGCTGGCGCCCAGCAGAGCCTCCTCGAAAGGGCTGTCGCTGTGTCCGTCCTCCGGGTCCCCCGCCTCCTCCTGCCTCTGGAGCTCCCCCGTCCCGTAGCTGACGAGCGTGAACTTCCTGGCCCGCCGCCGCAGCTTCTTAAACATCAGCACGCCCCTGGAGTGGGGGCTGGGCGGGGCCGTCAGCAGCAGCGCGATGCTTCGGCATCGGGACCGGGCCTCCTTGGCCTGCTTCTCGGACAGGCTCTCACTCCTCCGGAGCCCTGGGCGGGGAAGGACAGAGCCACACTGAGCGGCGGCGCAGGCCGGGCGGGGACGCCACCCCCACCAGGGACACCGGGGGCTCCCTGCTGGAGCCCGGCAGCTTCCCCCCACCAGGGCCCCTGCACACCACCCGCGCTGGCCCTGGTGCTCCTGAGAAGACGCTCCTGCCTGCTGGGTGCACACCTGTCCCGCCATCTGCCTCTGGGTGGGGCCCCTGCTTCCACAGGGAGTGGTGCCTGGTGATCTTGGTTACCAGGGGGCGACCAGAAGCGAAGGAGACCATTTAAGGGCAATATTCTCCGGAAACAAGTCAAGGTACTCCTTAGCGCTTCCACATTTAAAAACCAAATGTCAATACAAAGCTATTTCCAAGAGTTTTTAAAACGTTGGGGCAGGGAGGGGGCAAAAATGTCATTTAGCTTCATGTTTTAACATGATGACTTTCAATATTCAAGTTTTCTCGTTTTTTTTCCCCGACTTTGTCTTCCCCCCAAAGCCTTTCCATGTGTGGAGAGGGGATCAGTAGAAATTCGGAAAACTGAAGGGACAGTGACTGGAGGGGGTCACCGGGGACGCAGGAAACACGAGCCGCAGCGCCGTCCAGACAAGTCCGGACGCGCCGCTACTTCAGAGACGTGAGTCCCCTTCAGCTGCAGTGGGAGTGACTGTAAATCTTGGCAAAACTTAAAAATAATATGACTAGTGACCCTTTGAACTGTGGGTAAGAGCTGACACTGAAATGAAACCATTTAAAGCAAGAGTTTGACAGTTTTAAAATAAAAATCTGAATTTGAAACGCCAGCACTGTTGTTACAAGAAGACACTGACAGTGAGCTAATGTACAGCATCGACTAACCCGGTCGAGCTCAACGACAGTGAGTGTGATTCACGGATGAACTCAAAACGGCTCAGTGCAGATTTCAGAAGATGCTCTTGAGTATTTTACGATTGAAAATCTGCTCTTTTGGTTCTATAAAGTCCGACTTAGTGACTGAGTTTTGAAGAGTGGAACCATACTAACTAGTTTTATAACAAAGTCACAGACATTCACTGGCTGTGACATTTCACTAAGAGAAAGTGACAAGGTGTGTGGCCATCCCCACACACGCTCTGTTCGGAGGTGCGACACTCTCACTGCCAAAGTGACAGTCACTGCTGCACACTTGCCACAACGGCGCTGCCGACGTGTCAGGCACGTGGACCTGCCCTCGCACACCTGTGAGGTCTGCACCTGCAAGGCTGTGCTCGGCACCGGCCAGCGTGGTCGCGAGCACCCGGGCTAAAAATACGAGCTGACGGGAATGACCGCAGGTTGGAAGACTCGGTTTACTGCTCCGTGTGACCAAGTTCATTACCGCTCAGACGCCTGAGCGCCTTTGCCCACCAGCCTCTACTTCCTCCAATGACACTCCAAACCGTGTGGGGGAAAGAAAATAGCAAAACCCCCGAAACTAGCTGCCATTCCCACCCCCACTCTTCTTCCCCTAACCTCCCCCAGGGAAACAGACCCCTGGGAAGAAAGAGCCTTGGATTCAGAGGCACTTTCTGCGTGGGGACATTTAAATGCCTCCGCGGGGCCCTGGAGACGGGCTCGGGTGTCCAGAGGCAGATGAAACCCTCAGCAGCGCGCCGGGGACTTGCAGCCTGGGCAGGATCATGTAGCCGCCGGGATGCCACATGCCCTTGTCCGTCAACCGCTTCTGCGGGCGTCATCACGCTGCACAGCGGTCAGGCTCAGGACGAGGGTCCGCCCCGGGGTCCTCGGGGGCCCGCACCTCACAGACGGACTGCTCTGGGTGTGGGCTCGGCAGCGCCTGGCGCTGCACCTCGGAGCCCACGTTCCTTCGCAGACTCCCGTATGCTGCTTTAACACAAAACACGACAACCCTCTGAGACTAACCCAAAAGGCAACAGTAACAGCGCCGTTGTCTTCACCACTGCCCGTGCCCTGGGGGAATGAGACTCGGACTCTACCACAAACTGGCTGCTTCCGACTCAGAAATTAGTTTTGAACCCCGTTTCGTGTTTGTTATTTTGTGCATCAAATTTTTTTAAAGAGCCGATGAAAGACACAAGAAAAAATCTAGTGCAGAGAGAGCTGTGTGGGGAGCAGCAGCGGGACGCCCAGGCCCCCAGCCCCTCGCGCCCCCGCAGGACTCACGTGCGTGGCGCGCTCTGTGCTTGTGCGGTCGGCTGTGGTCCCTGCCGCAGCGCGGCTCTGCCCCCGGCTCCTCTGACGAGATGGCCAAGGCCACCAGAGAAGGAGGTGCTTCCGACCGCCCCCCTCCCCCCGGGGAGTCCACACCCCCTGCTGCTGCCGGCAGCCTGCACCCTTCCGTCTGCTGCCTGTCAGCGCAGTCCAAGATCACTTCCACTCGGGGAGGCCCCGCGGCCCCCGCCTCCCTCCCAGGGGTCACTCGCAGCTCCTGGCTGCTGCGGATCTGGACGATCTTGCTGGACCTCAGAGGAGGGGCCCCCTTCTCGCTGGAGGGGACTGAGTTTATGTGGGCGACCCCGCCACAGTCTAAGTCAGGGTCTGGGTCAGGACGCTGAGACGTTTCAGCCCCCAGGAGAGCCACCACGGGGACGCCCGTGCCCGAGGGCCCCTCCCGTGACAGGGACAGCTGCAGCTCCAGCACAGGGCCCGGCCAGGCCGGCTCCTCCTCGGGGTGTCCTTCCGGGGCGGCAGGTACTCGGGGAGACACAGGGCGGCTCAGGCCACTTTCTTCTTTTTTGCTTCCTTGGTCCTCGGCGAGGCGGGCTCCACTCTCAACGGGGACAATGCAGGGCTCCCTGTCCTGGCCCGGTGGGGCCGGCCGGATCTGCAGGGTGGTGCTTTCCACGTGCCCCTCCTGAGGGGGGTGCTGCTGGGTTCTGGCCTCAGTTTCAGGGATCAGAGTCTCGGTTACCCCACTGGCAGCTCTGCACACAGAAAAAGCATTGCAGACAGTTACTGTGGGCACCGCGCCTGCCCAGCCCTCTCCGACGCCCTCCCTGACGCCCTCCCAGGGGCTGGTACGAGGCGCGGTCGGTCTCTGGGCTGCCCCGCAAGTGTGGCCGCAGCCCATCCGAGAACACAAGGGGTGACACGTTTCTATGGTTATTTATAGATCTTCCAGATAGTTTTTTCTTTAAAGCCAAGGAACAATGATTACAAGAGATGATAAAACCTAAATCCATCCTAAATTCAGCTTTTATGTTTTTAAAAGGACAGGTTCCTGCCACATGGATGCTCTTTATTTATAACTACTTGGTTGTTTCCAAAGAGCCGTGTTTGTTAAAATACGACGCAGCATTTCCCTGTCTTGCGGGCCAAGTTCAGGTCTGGACACTGTGAAGCCACACGGGCCGCCCCGCAGCCTCAGGGCGGTGCTGATGCACCGGCCGCTCGGGCGACCCCACTGGAGGCTGGGCCTCCCAGAGAGGGCGAGACACGGCCGTCCTGGGGCCCCAGTGGGTGTGCTTAGTCACGCGCAGCGCCCCACTCGGCAGCCTGGTGTCTGGGAGCCCCTCCTGGGCACCGTGTCGCGGGCTGTTTATGCCGGGTCCCTGCTCCCCGTGAACCCGTCCCTGGGAGTACCGTCCTCAGAAGGCCTCTGCGGTCCAACTACCCTCTGCCTTGCAGCCGAGGAGCCCTGGTCTCCCCGCCACAGTGCCTTGATTTTGACCTTGGCGTCCCCATCGGGGTTTGCGAATCTGGGTCTGCAAGGAGTGGGGTCGATCCCAGGGTGGAACACCTCTGTGCTAAAACTCTAAATTAGATTCTCCCGCTTTCAGGGCCGGCCTCACCCCACAGCTGCAGCCGAGGCCTTGGGCCTCGAGTTCGTAAGGCTTCTTTTTTCCCCCTTTTTGTTTTCTTGAAGGAGCAACACTCTCCCCTCTGCCTGCCTCTCCCTCCCTCAACACGGCCTGGACTAATGCAGGAGCCTCCCTGGGAGGACGGGGTCCTCCTTCTTGTCGACTCACGAGGATTTACCTCAGGATTTCCGTGGTCGTACAGTTTCAGAGTCATAATTTGGCTTTTGACTACACTTAGCAAAATGAAACTAAAACAATAAAATGAAATGCAGCTTTCTCTAAGCATGTAAACCTCGACCTGGGAATTAAAAAAACCAAGTATGATACAGGGAAAACCCCAGGACAGCACATCGGGTCTGTCTCACATCAGAAATGAGGTCCCGGGGGGCAGACCGGTGCGTGGGAAGGGCCTGGGCAGGGGGCCCGGGGGCGGAACCCACGCCAGCCTCAGGGACGGCACACGGCGGCCAGGCCAGGCGGACGCTAACGCTTCCTGGTGGCCGAAGTAAAGTGGACTCAGGTGGTAAAACCACGAAAGCCCTCGAGGGAAAGCTTTATCCCTTAAAATGTTCACTTCCACGCGGTCTGCACGGGCGCTCAGTTCCACAACTTGTGTGTCAGACGCAGGGAAGCAAGATTTGACTGCTCAACTGGTGTCTCTCTGGCGGGAGGATTATTTTATTTTTGAGAAACAAAAGATTGAGGAAGAACCTCGGGCCTCCAGCCAACTGCCTAGAACTGAGACAGAATGTTGTTCCCGGAACAGAGCTACCAGCAGAGAGGGCTCCCCAGGGCACCGCGTGGGGCCGTGGGGCGGTGGGGCGGTGGGGGGTGCTGCAGAGCCCGGAGTGCAGGCTCTCCCCTGGGTCCCCATCTCCTCCTCTGTGTCCCCACCAACTCCTTCCAGCCCAGCACACACTCGGTCCTTCCTCCCGCTGAAATTCTGTCTCCATAGCCCGAGGCGATGTACGGGCCACCGTGCCCTGGTGCCGCAGTCCTGATGGCCCTCGTACACACAAACATGGTCAAACTTGGTCATTTTTCCTGTCCATCTGTCTCATGTCAACACCGTTCTTAGACCAGCCAGAAGAACCTAGAAGGGTAGAGATAAATTTCCTTCTCCCAGCACATAATTACTTACCTTAAAAATATCTCGGTTTAATGGCACTGGTGATAATAGAGACCTAATGACCACAGGGTGTTTCCAGAGAGCCTGACCTAGCTACCTGCGGGCAGCCGGCCAGGAGGAGCCAGCGCTGGGCCCCGGAGGACAGTTCTGGGAGAGGGGGAGGGTCTAACCCCAGGACACCACACTCAGACACCAGAGTGGAGGGGACGATGGTGATGGAGTGACCGTGATGATGGTGATGATGTGCTGACTGCCTTTTGGTAGGTACTAATTTGAGGTTCTATTTTCAATATCATCAATTATTTGGTGAAGCCAGAATTCTGAAGAGAGAAGGCAGCGATCACAGTCCCATCTGTTAAAGCAGCAGGGAAACAGCCCCTGGTTTCTGGCCGTGAGCAAGTCCCTCCAACTCAGCTCTGGCTGCCTGCCCCGCCCGGGTTTCCCAGGGACAGCCACGGTGGCCCGACTGGAGCGAGGAGGGGTGTCCGACCACACTGTGCTCCCAGAACCTGCCTCACAGCTCACGTGGACCCTGAAGGGGGAGCAGGTCAGGGAAGGGACTTCCAGCCTGGCTGTGATTAGACCGACTGAACCCTCTGGAAGACAGGTGTGCTGCCGCTCAGAGCCACGCAGCCTCGGCTTGCTGTGCCCTTCCTGGTGGCAAGTGGCAGCCTGGTAAAGAGGCAGGGTCCTGAGGGTGCAGATGCTGGGCTCGGAGGGTAAATATCTGGATGGGAGGTGCTAAGAATACAGCTGGTTTCATTTATTTTCCCAGGATTCTGGCCGTGGAGAGGCTGCGTTTGTAGAGAAACAGAACTGTACTGAGTGACATGGGGGGCCCTGCTGTGGGCTGCTCCCTGCAGAGTCAGGTGACCCCTGGAGGGCTTGCAGGTTCTGGGAGAGGACCCCCATGCCACAGCGCCATGCCGGCCGGAGCCTTCCTGCCAGCAGGCCTTACGCTGCGCTGGCCAGGCCCCCAGGAGGCCGTTGGCTGCACTGTGCTCTGCACGCAGTGGAAACACGGATGCTGCGGGCTTCTCTTCACTGCCCTTGTTCCTGTCTTTCCTTTTTAGGTTGAAACTTCTGCATTTTTAAGTGGTGAGTGCTCGGGTGGATGTGGGGAGATCAGATTGACAAGTGATTCGCAAGGGCGGCCGAAAACCTTGACTCTGACGGCTCCTCTTGTCCAGACCCAAGTGCGGGCTTTCCCGGGGGCCCTGACCACAGGGTCTGGCTGCTTCTAGGTTTTTTGCTGTTCTTTCCCTTCTCCTGGGCGTTTTCTTTCTACTAAAAAATTAGTGTCCAGTGGAGTGGTCTAACATATAAACATTCAAATTCACCTGCAACCTGGGAATTAAAAGCCTCTGATCCTGACCCACCAGAAACCTTGGCCCGGAAGGATTCAATTATGTTCAACAGGCTGGGCTTTCTAAAGAAGTAGTTGTAGGTAACTTAAGATTTTCAATTGAGTTCTTGAAACAAAGATTTCCGAGTTAATTTCCCATCAACCAGGAAAAGCAGTGGATCAAATGGTCCCTTTTCCAACACGGAGGTTTTTCTGTGCAGCTACACTGACCCTCCACAGAGCACCCAGCTTCCCCCGCCTGCCCCCCGCCCCACAGCCTCCAGAGGACGCAGGTGCCCCGCCCACGCACTGTACCGTTTGACCAGCAGGTGCAGCGAGTCCGAGACGCTCTCCATGAGCTCGACCACCTGGGGGTGGGAGAGGCCCGCGCAGGGGTGCCCGTTGATGGAGACCACTTCATCGCCCTCGCGCAGCCCGGCCCCTGATGCTTTGCTCTGGCTTCGGATCTGAGGGGACGAGAGGGAGGCAACGGTCACTGTCCTGGCCCTTGTCCACACCAGGCCACCATCCCCGAGAAACCTGTGTTTGGGAGAGGCAGGTGGATCTAAAAGCCACAGCGTCATCCCCGATTCTGTGTCAGCCTGTGCATCTGTGAGACCAACTTAAACATGCCCCCCCACCCAGTGCAGCATCCACCAGGATGTCCACTCTGAATTCACGTCCTTGTACACAGACAGGGAAGGAGAGGACGTCCACTCTACAGCGCTGATCGCACAAGAGAGAAAGACCCGAGAGGACTGGGAAGACGTGTTCGAAGTGTGTTCACGCTGAAAACACTATGAAAACAGTCCAGTCGCCTCGCTGTGCAGTCTGGCCCCGGGGGGACAGCGAGGTCTCCCGTCAAATAAACTGTGCAAGCCCATTGCACCACGAAGGCAGGTGGGTACGAGCTGTCCCACAGTAAAAACGCAGAACTTCTCAAAATATTGTTGTGTAAAAACTTGACTTATTGGTTTCAGAGAGAGGGTGGAGAGGAGAAAGAGGCAGAGGGAGAAACGCCGACCGGTGATTCCGCTCACTGATGCAGCCGCTGGCTGACGGCCGTCCGTGCCCGACCGGCCGTCGAGCGACACGCCAGGAGGGCGCCCCAACCAACGGAGCTGCCTGGCCAGGGTGTGGACGTGTTCTTGGTTGTGAACAGGAGAGTAAGTCCGGACACTGATGTCACTAGTGCTGACAAGACTCCTGTGAGTTTGTCCTCCAGTCACATCCGACCGAGGCCACCCGTGGCGGGGGCCCAAACCGCCCGTCCTCAGGGAGAGGACACCAGCCCCAAAGGTGGAGCGGAGCCAGTGGTCTGGGCCGGCCCTGGCGGCTGGCGTGGACATGACACAGAAGGCCTGGGTGCCGCGGGCACAGCCAGCTCCTGGGCGTGCTCTGCAGGGACGGTGGGGGACTACGTGGGGCTCCCCCCCCCACACACACACGAAAGGAACATGCCAGGTGAAGAGAAAGAGTCCAAACGTGGGTCCTTCGTCACAAGACCCTTGAACATGTGCGGATTTATTCGCAGTTTTTATCCAGACGCCTGGCATTATTTCACCACGTGGAAGACAGTGTTTCATCTTTCTCCTCAGCATGTACACACTTCATAACCGAAAGACAGAGGGGACGGGCACATGTATTACATTTCCCTGCAAAGATAATAATACAAATACGAGGTCTGTCCAGAAAAAGCCCAGCCATTGCTAGTGTAACAAGAACAGTTTGCGTGACATGGATGTGACCTGGCAGCCAAGGAGAGTGGACTGGAATGCGCATGTGTGAACAATGACGACTTCACTGCACTAGTCAGTGGGGGTGGGAGACGCCACTGAGTGAGCATGTGCACTGTGTGGCCGTTGCATTCAAAGTGACTGAGTAGAGCAATCAGTCCGCATCGAATTCACAAGGCGGCAGCTGTGGGCGGCTGGTGAGTGGCAGGTTCATCAGGACAGCCTGCTCATGTGTCACACATCGTGCATTTCTTCAGGGAAACGTCCCATCTCCCAGGTGGCTCAGCCCCTACAGCCCAGATTTGGCACCTGTGGCTTCTGAATTTTCCCAAAACTAAAATCACCTTTGAAAGGGCAGAGACTTCAGACCATCAGTGAGGTTCAGGGAAATACCACCGTACGAAGGGGCAGCTGGTGGCGACTGGGAGAACAGAGTGAGGTCCCGAGGTGCCTCCTCTGAAGGGGACTGAAGGGGGCGTGCGTGTGGCCACAGGGGGACCTGTGCTGGGGGGCCTGTGCCTGGCCCCCGCCCCTCCACGTCACTCAGGCTCCAGCTGGTGCCGACCTCGGGGACATTCACTCTGGATGCAGCAGGGCCACTGGCAGCTTGTTGACCCCTGGTCACAGCTGAGGGGGACGCCCGAGATCCGGCGCTGGCTGGGGTGTACTGACTGTGGCCACCAATGGCGCCAGTCCCCTGGGCAGCCAGGGCTGCGTGTTGTCAGAGGTCCCCACCGTGACATCCCCTTTCGAGAGACTCCCCAGTGCTCACCAAGTCCCCTTCTGACCAAAGTACTGCAGGGGTTTCTGCATCCCGCCGAGGCGCCCTGACCGGGACTGAGTGGCGGGACCAGGGGCAGACGCAGAAGGTCAACAAGGAGGCAGCTACATCGCAGACGCAGAGACGAGGGGCAGGCGGAGGCGGGTCCTTCAGGCCAGACAGGGGAGCCTCGTGGGAATGGATGCCTGGTGGGGGGGGGTCACCGTCTGCAAGGACGCAGGCAGGGCCCAGGGCGGTGACACGTGAGGGCGGTGAAGGAAGTCCAGGAACGTGAACGCAGGAAGCGAACTAGGAAACCGACACGAGAGAAATGAGAGCTCCTGAGGAGCTCACAAGGGATGATGGGAGATGATCACCCTCGTGCACAGCTGTCCACGAGGAGAGCAGGTGACTCCAGAGGGGAAGCGAGGCTTTTCTCACAGGAGTACTGCCTGGTGCAGGAGGGGAGGGATGCGGGTGGCACCCCCCTGCCGGGCCGCGGGGCCCATGCAGGCAGACACGGGGTCTTCAGGTGCTCCACCCTCAGAACCTCCCCCAAGCTCAGGAGGCCGTGGCCATGCTGAGTTCGGGTTGAAGACCCAACATCTCTGCTCTGGTCATGAGAACACTCCCAGACACTGAGCGGGAGTCCTCCTTTTGGGTGACTGTCTGTGTCCTGAGCCATAAAAGTAGAAAGCATTCCTGGTAGCAACCCTGGGCCGCTCCCCGGAGGGAAGAACGGACTTGGACACTTGGACGGGCCGGCCCACCCCTCGCCCGCACCCTCAGGAATGCACAGGCTGTCAGGCCTGCAGTCAGAACTGTGCCGTGATGCAGCTGCCTGCCACGGGCTGTTCCAAAGCGCAGGCACTGTGAGGCCGGGCGAGCAAGTTCAAATATGGAATGGAATTCTCTGCTCGCCGTCCTTCCTGGGAACTTGCGGGGCCCCTGCAGAGGGCCTCGGGCGGCCGGAGCCCCTGCTGCAGCGTGCTGGGAGGGCGGCACAGGCTTCTGCACGCCAGGCCGGCTTTCACAAACACTTAGACAGCACATGAAAAAAACTTGAAAAGAACTCATTGAAAACACATGTACAGTTGAAGGAGACATGCATAACTGTCACTGCTCTGAAAACGAGGGCGCTGCAGAGCCCAGATGTCCCGGACGGGAAGCGGTGGACATGCTGGGACGCTGGCGTGGGGCACCTGTGGCCACACTCCACCTCCAAGCAGACCCTGCAGGCGACCGACCAGCCCTGGAAGGACATCTGTGTAGCTTGCAGCCGCCCGAGAGCCTCCTCCGAGTGCCGCGCACAGGCACCCGGGCCAGATGCAGGGTGCAAGCTCCCCGCACGTTCGGCCCCTGGTTTCCCCGCCAATGACCTTCGCCCTCCGGATGGCCCCCTACTGAGCATGCTGAAGACAGGGGGTTTCCATTCATTCTTGACTTTCATGTGAGACCAAACACAGTGACTTTTCAACTTCCTCTGTCGTTACGTAACCCTGGAGCCAGGCAGTGGAATTGCCAAGGGCTTGTCTCATACGGAAACCGATCTCCGCGTTAATCAAGTCAGCCGTGCAGAACACGGCGTCTCCTGGTGCTTGCAGGAAACGGAGAAGTCACATGAAGGATAAATATACTAGGCTGCCGTGATGAGTAAAAGGTGGTGCAGAAGCGTTTGATGTCACGCAAACAAACTGCACAGTAACCTACGGGAACTATGCTTTTAAAGGACAAAAACACTCATTTCTTGAGACAAGGACTGACTGTCCTGCTTTACAGACAGTTGGCGAAGGCGAGCCCAGCAGTGCTGGGTCTGTCTCCCTCTGAAAGGAACGGGCTCCTCATATTGGCGGTGAAACAAAACACCACAAGCACCGTACAGAAAGCAAAGAGGAAACAGCCAGCACGCTCCTTTGGGGGGTCTCGGAACTCCAGCCCCCACCCTGCCCCACCACGCAGCTGGGGGCTGCTCACTGCTCTGCACAAGCCCTCCCTTCACCTTGACAGTCTAACGGGGCAAGACCCTCGAGATCCTGTTAGAACTTGGGGGCCAGGTGCACGGCCAAGGTCAGCCACCTGCCCCGCTCCTGGGTGAGCAGGGCGTGCCCAGGTGAGGAGTGCAGGAAGGTGCTGTCTCCACCCCGGTGCCCGTGCTATGCTGGCAGCTGGTGTGGAAACACACAGATGTGTGAGCATTTCACGTAAAGGGCTGCGGAGGGTTTGCAAGGGAGGGCACACTTGCCTGTCTCCCCCCCTGGGCTCCTTCCCAGTCAGCTGACCCATCCTCCCCTTAACTGTAAAGAGGGGGCCGCGGGCCAGGACACTGCAGATGCCCAGGGCCCCCCTCACTACACAGGTTAACGACACCCCCTCAGGGGCACCTGCCACTCAACGGTAGTGACTTCTGACCTCTTGACTGGGGCGCATGAGGGCGGAGAGCCAATGGGGACTCAGACACTCCAGCGGGTGGCGGCGCAATGACAGTCCCAGGCCCTCCCTGAGCCCTACTGACCCGGGGGAGGGGGAGGAGGCCTGATGTTGGAGTGCTGTGCTCAGAGACTTGCTGGAATGAAGTCTCAGCAGCAGTGGGGGGAGGGCCAGAGTGGGGGAGGCGACCGGAGGCACTGACCCCCGGGCTCCGGTTCTGAAGAGTGCACACCTGTGTCCACTTGTCCGACCTGCTGCTCTTTGCTTCCCCTCCCCCTCCACAGCGTCCCCTTTCCCCTGGAACCCAGCCCTGGCAACTGCTGTGGCGATGAGGTCACTGGCCCAGAATACGGCCCTGCGGTAGAGGCCACCGCATCGCTGCCCTGCCGGCATTTCTGCCCCGCCCTGCAGCGCCCAGAGGGGCGCCGGGCCAGGGGAGCAGCTGCGAGCCTGGCTGCTGGGCGGAGCAGGGTGGCGACCCGGGGCTGCGTCCCGTGTCTGTGTCTCTGCCATCTCCTGTTCCCCACGCAGCCCAGCTCTGCTC